TGACGCCCACTTCGCCACCTGATAAACGCCCGCGCACTCATCACTCCCTGCCCTCCAGGTATTCCGCGCTTCGCTGCCGGCGCTCGCTCTTGCTCATGCTTTTTGAAACGCTTTGTGCTGGGCAACGCGGTTTTCTCCTTTCTGACCCAACTTTTTCCGAGGCCCTTGCCGCTGCCGGTGCTCCCCTTCCCCGTGCTCGCCCGTTGTCAGCCCGTCGCAGCCGCGCTCGCTGCTGCAGCTGCCGTCAGAGCGCGCGGGCGTCCATAGAAGCACACCCAAGCTCCCCGCCGCCACTCCAACTCATGTCGTCACGAGAAAAGCCGCCAGCAGCAGCGGCAGCAACGCGAGCATGAGCGGCAGGCGGGCAACAGGGTGCGTATTGTGCTTAGGGGGTGACTCGTGGCAGCGAACGGGCCAACCATGGCGAACAGCGGGAGCAACAGCCGCAACGGCGAGACGGCTAGGCGGCAAGCTGACGGCCGCAAAGTTGTCAGCGCAGCGGCAGCGGCGGCAGCAGGCGCAGCGGGGGTGCGGGTGTGTGGCGGCCGTGTCCATGGCGAGTCCGCCCGGGCCCGTCGCAGAGCCGGAACCCGGCGCGAGCGACAGCGGCACGGGCGCGGGCGAGGCGGCGGGCACGGCGGAGGAGCGCGTGGGCGTGCTGCTGCTGAACCTGGGCGGGCCCGACACTCTGGACGACGTGCAGCCGTTCCTCTTCAACCTCTTCGCCGACCCGGTCAGTCCCCCCTCCCCTCCTTCTCATGTCCGCCCCTCTACCCACCGCCACCTCGCGTGCTCCGGCCGTGGCGTGCGCAGGCGCCCCCTCGCACCCACTCACCCACCCACTCACTTGCGAGTTGCGCGCGACTCGTCAATGGAAGGTCGGGTGCCAAGGCGCTTTGCCTCGCGTCCACAAGAACCTGCGCTCGCTCTTCTGGTTTCTCGACCACGCACGCACTGTCGCCGTACTAAACGCTGCGTCTCCTCGCCCCCGCGTATCCCGTGTTTCCCCCCTCCCCCCGCCCGCCGTGCGCGCAGGACATCATCCGGCTGCCGCGCGCGCTGCGGTTCCTGCAGCGGCCCATTGCGCAGTTCATCTCGACGATGCGCGCGCCCAAGAGCCAGGAGGGGTACGCCGCCATCGGCGGGGGCTCGCCGCTGCGGCGCATCACCATGGACCAGGTGGGGGTGGGGGGACAGCACACGCGCCATGGGGCGATATGGGGTAGGGGGGTTCGAAGAACGATGCAAAGACGGGAAGGACGGGAAAGACAGCCCAAAAGCCAGGGGAATGACAAGGTCGCACCAACTTGTGCCCTCCTCTCTCCCTCCGCCTCCCTCCCTTTTCTCCTCCCCCCTCCTTCCCCTTCACTCCATCCCTACCCGTCCCTCGTCCCTCCTTCCGTTCCCCTCATCCATTTCTCCCCTTGTCTCCCGCTCGCACTCGCGCGCGCTCTCTCAGTAATGAGTCAATGAGTGACGTATCGTGTATCACGACATGTATCATGTGTCTACATCCATCGCCAAGCCCTCTCGCTCCCCCCCCTGTGCATGGCATGGCGTGAGGAGGTGCCACCCACCGAGCACCAACGTTGCTTCACGCCCGTCCCGTCTCTCCTTCCTCTGCCCCCACCTCCCCTTTCTCCCCCCCCCCCCTGTGCGCCATGCGCGGTGCGCGGTGGGTGGCAGGCGGAGGAGCTGGGGAAGGCGTTGCAGGCGAAGGAGGTGGCGGCGAAGGTGTACGTGGGCATGCGCTACTGGCACCCCTTCACCGAAGAGGCCATCTACCAGGTCCCGCCGCAACCCCTCATACCCACTCCCACCCCTCGCCCCCGCTCCCCTGCTCGCACCACCATCCATGCGCGCTTTATCCCACCTTTCCCTTGTGCCATGCGTGTCTCCGTCACTCGCTCAAGCTGCCCCCCTGCTCCGCCTGTCCCCCCCTCTTGTCCCGCGCGCAGATAAAACAGGACCGCATAACGCGGCTCGTGGTGCTGCCGCTGTACCCGCAGTTCTCCATCACCACCAGCGGCTCGTCGCTGCGCCTCCTCGAACGCATCTTCCGGTATGCACCCATCCCATCCCACCCCCTCGATCCCCCACCCCGCAACCCCCTGCTGCGTCGCCGCCTCGCCCAGCGCCACCACTCACGGCGTGCCGTGTGCCTTGTTCACCCTTGCTCGCCACTCCTGCGCCCTTCCACCTTCCGCTCGCGCGCACTTCCCCATCCCCCGTACCTACCCGCCCACATGCTCACTCGCTCTCTCCGCCTGTGTGTGTGTGGTGGGGTGGGGTGTGTGTGCGGTGAGCATGGCAGGGAGGACGAGTACCTGGTGACCATGCAGCACACCGTCATCCCCTCGTGGTACCAGCGCCGCGGCTACGTCGAGGCCATGGCCACACTCATTGAGAAGGAGCTGGTCGCCTTCTCACGACCAGAAATTGTACCCTCTCTCTTGCGCCACACACCCCTTCCACACAAATGCCCCACTCTCCCTCTTGCCCACATCACCAACCCACCCCCCCCAACCCCCCCCGCTTCCCACGCTTCTTGCACCTATCTCGCACCCTCACACAGTCGCTCTCGCTCTCGCTCTCTCTCTCTCGCTCTCTCTCTCTCTCTCTCTCTCTCTCTCTCTCTCTCTCTCTCTCTCTCTCTCGCTCTCGCTCTCTCTCTCGCTCTCTCTCTCTCTCTCGCTCTCTCTCTCTCTCTCTCTCTCTCTCTCTCTCTCTCTCTCTCTCTCTCTCTCTCTCGCTCTCGTTCTCGCTCGCACTCTCTCTCTCTCTCTCTCTCTCTCTCTCTCTCTCTCTCTCTCTCTCTCTCTCTCTCTCTCTCTCTCGCTCTCGCGCGCGCTCTCTCTCTCTCTCTCTCTCTCTCTCTCTCTCTCTCTCTCTCTCTCTCTCACACACACACACACACACACACTTGCGCACCAGCACCGACTGTCTCGCTCGTCTCGCCGTGTGCCATGGGGCATGGGGGTGGGGTGATGGCGGGGCGGGCAGGTGAACATATTTTTCAGTGCGCACGGGGTGCCGGTGGCGTACGTGGAGGAGGCGGGCGACCCGTACAAGGCAGAGATGGAGGAGTGCGTGGGGCTCGTCATGGACGAGCTGCGGCGCCGCGGCGTCTACAACAACTACACCCTCGCCTACCAGGCACGCCCGCCCTCCCCCCCACATCCACGCACGCTCGCGCTCCCTAACCTGCTCCCTTGCGCGCTCACAGCACAGGCGCGCATGCTGGGCGTGCTACCATAGCATGTGTGCACAGCAGAGGGCACACACGCACTGCACTGGTGGCCAGACATAGCCCCGCCCGGCATGCACACAGTATGTGACGTGACACGGCAGCTGCAGGCATGTGCAAGCACCACTCGCGCATGTGTGCATGCCCCTGCAGCCCAGCATGCCCCGGTGACGCCTGTGTGCCCACGTACCATCATGTGCATGCCACTGCCATCCACTATCCCACCCCGCCCGCTCACATGGCTAGCGTGTGGCCCCCTCCCCTTGCCCCGTGGTGTGCGTGGGTGGGGCCATGGCATCAGAGTCGGGTGGGGCCAGTGGAGTGGTTGAAGCCGTACACGGACGAGAGCATTGAGACCCTTGGCAAGGCCGGAGTCAAGAGCCTCCTCGCTGTCCCCATCAGGTGCACACCCCCGCTCCCCTGCCCCCCTGCCCGCTGCTCGCTCCATGCTGCTTGCTGTTGAGAGGTGACGCCTCCAGCCAGGCCGTGGGCCTCTGCACTTGGATTTTCCCTCTGCGCTGCACCTCACGTCACCCCCCTCGTCCCGTCGTGCCTGCCCCGTGTGTGTGCGGGTGGGTGCATGGGGCGGTACAGCTTTGTGAGCGAGCACATAGAGACGTTGGAGGAGATCGACATGGAGTACCGCGAGCTGGCGCTGGCGTCGGGCGTGGTGGAGTGGGGGCGCGTGCCGGCGCTGGGGTGTGAGCCGTCTTTCATCGAGGACCTGGCGGACGCTGTGCTCGAGGCCCTGCCCTACGTCGGTGCCATGGCCGCCTCCTCCATCGAGGCCCGCCAGGTACCGCCCCTTTCCCCCTCGCTCTCCCTCCCCTGCCTCTTCACCTGCTTGCTGCCTGCCTGCCCGCCCACGCATGCATGGGTGGGGAGGCGGAGGGTGGTGTTGTTGGGGGTGGTGGACAGTGTATGGCCGTGCATGCTGCGCCCTCCACGCCACATGCTTGTTGTGCCCTCCCTGCGCCGCATGGGTGTGCTTGCTCACGGGCACCACTGTAAGCATGAGCATGACCCCCCTGTGTGTGCGTGGGTGTGCGTGGCAGGCGCTGGTGCCACTGGGCAGTGTGGAGGAGCTGCTGGCCACGTACGACATCGAGCGGAGAGAGCTGCCCGCACCCGTCGCCATGTGGGAGTGGGGGTGGACCAAGAGCGCTGAGACGTGGAATGGGCGTGCCGCCATGGTGGCGGTGCTGGGGCTGCTGCTGCTGGAGGTCAGCACGGGCCGTGGCATCCTGCACCAGCTCGGCATCCTGCCGCCCCTCCTATGACCGCCCCCACACACGCGCCACGCATGGGGGGAGGGTGGGAGGTTGCCATGCACGCAGGCCCTCTACCTCGAAAGAGGGATGGTGGTGCTGTGGAGTGAGGTTGGGCGGGCGGACAGGCTTCCATGGGGCCTCATTCGCTACCTTGTGCTGTTGCTGCCTGCATGCAGGGAGCATGTGTTGAAAGTGCTTGCATCAGGGGGGCCGAGCTTGGGGTGCACTGAGGGCCCTTCATTGTATAAGTCGTTACTGCCCCCTCTAATTCTGCTCTGCAAACCATGGTACCTGTAATGTCCATACTCAAATGTTGATCTTCAGAATGCAATCCCTATGTTGAGTGCGTAACTCAGAACATCTATATTCGCCAATATACAATAATGTCCAGCCACAATGTTGCGTTGCCATGGTTTCACCGCCATGTTCCTGCTGCGTGCCAACTATCTGCAGCATGCATCGGGCGTCGTGAGTCGATGCCAATGATTCGCCCCCGATCGTCTCGTCGCGCCACTGGGATCGCCCACTCACCGCGCGCTGCTGCGCGCCGCACCCCGCTGCTCCGCGTGCTGCTCGTCGCCGCGCTGCTGCTGCTGCCGCTCCTCGTCTTCTGTCGCCTCCGCTGGTCTGCCTTCCAGCCTCCTCGGCAATCCTCCGCCTTTCCCGCCGGAAATTCTCCCTCCGCCGCATCAGCTGCGCGCGCCCTCTCCCGCCCATGGCGCGCGCGGCGTGGCGGCGGGGCCTCGGAGGACGAGCTATCGAAGGCGGCCGCGGCGCAAGAGGCGCTCGGGGACGTCGCGGCGCAGACGGACGGGGATGCGCAAGCGGGTGAGGCGCAAGCGCAGGAGGGGCGGAAATTGGGGAGCGGAGGAGATGAAGGGGGCAGCGGGGCAGGGGAGGCGGGGCATGGGGAAGAAGGTGAAGGCAGCGCGGCAGCGGAAGGCGCGGAGGGTGAAGCGGGCAGCGGCGGAGTGACGGTGATCCGACATTTCTCGTTACATGGGGAGAACCGCACACTGCCGTGGGAGGAAGACTTCTGGCGGGTCGCGAGGAAGCCTAAAACGGGAATGAATGGGGAAGGTGGAGGGGATGTGGGTGGCGCAGGTGGGAGAGGTGAAGATCTAGAGGAGGAAGAGGAGGGGGAGGAGTGGGAGCTACTGTATGACGTGAGTACCATCGGGGAGGTCATGGCAGCATGGCATGGCATGACATGACATGGCATGAATGCATGTGCGAGAGAATGGGGGTGCATGCGCGCGTTGCCCCTGCCGTGCGCCTGCACCTTGTGCTTCCCCCCCCCTTCGCGCTCATCACCCACCCTGTGCGCGCCCGTGTGTGCGCGTGAATGAGTGTCCCTTGGGTGCAGGCATGGACAGCAGCGTACGGGCTGGAGCACCGCTGGAGTGCTCCCACTTCCATCTCCCTGCCGCCCGCCGTCGCTGCTCACATTGCCGCCAGGCGGAGGAGGAGGAGGACGCAGGGAAGAGGCAAGCGAGAGGGGGGGCGGACAGGGCAAGGGGTGGGGGAGCGAGAGCAGGAGGGCGAGGATAGCGGGGATGCAGGCGGGGGCAGTGGTGGCGTGCCTCCTGCGCCGCACCTGGTGGCGTGTGAGGCGGCAGCAGCGCAGCAGCGCCTGCTGGAGCAGCGCCTGCCCGACGGCTCGCCCCCGCCCTGGGCTGCCCCTGCTGCCGCCGCCACTGCCGCCGCTGCTGCCGAGGCTGCAGACCCCAAGGGGCTCCACGAGGGGCTGAGAGGGGCGGGCCGTGGGGAAGGAGACGAGCGCCGTGAGGCAGGGCAGTTGGGGCGCAAGCAGCAGGAGCGGTGGACCACCGTTCCTCAGACGCCGTGGGTGAGATGAACGGGGGGGGCATGGGGCATGCAGCATGCTGCTTCATACAATGTCTCGGTGTGGACCAGCACAGCACCTGCCTGCATGGATGCACTGCCGTTCCACCACTGTGCCCCTCGTCACCTCTCCTCTACACCCCTCCCCACCATGTGCAACCCTTACGTTGCCACATTCTCCTGTGCGCGCCCCAATGGCACTGCGTGTGCACCGTGGAGCATCACCTCGCACCCTCCCCTCGCCACAACCCGTTTTCCTCCTCCTCTCTCCACCACACGCCCTGAACCCACGCGCGTGGCGCTGGGCGTGCAGGTGCAGGGCAGCGATGCGGACAACCTGCCATTCACACGCGTGGTGCAGGCGGCGCTGTGGCTGCACCAGTTCCCACGCGACTGCGAGCACGGTGCGCACCGCTTCCTGCTGTACCAGTGGCCGGGCGAGGGCGACCACGGGCTGGGCTCCGACGTGCACCTGCTGTCCGTGGCCATGGGCGTGGCGCTCGCCACAGGCCGCATCCTCGTGCCGCACCGCAACTTCTTCCGCGCCCACCACGACGCCTGCTCCGGTGCCCAAACACCCCCTCCCCGCCTCCCTCCCTGCTCTCTCTGCAATGCTCACCGCAATTCCTTCGCCACTCCTCCCTGCGCCTCCTCGCTCTCCCCACTTCTGCCTCAGCTTCTGTGTGCAAACCTTTCAACAGTTAGGCAGGCTGCACTGTGTTGTGTGTGCCCACATGTGTGCGCCCGTGCCATGCCCCTCTCTCACCGTGTGCAGGCGAGGCGGAGGGGTCACTGGCATGCTACTTCGCACCGCTCACCCACGCGCACTGTGAGGCAGCGGTGGCGGCGCTGGTGGCGGCGCAGCCAGAGCTGGTGGTGCCGCCGGGCATGGAGGGCAGTGCGGGCGAGGGCGTGGAGCGGTGGGTGGCGGGCATGGTGGTGGACTGCCACGAGGTCATGCACGCCCTGCTGCTCCAGCTGCGCGGCCCTCAGCCTGTGGTCATGCTGCCTCTCTGCGCACCCTCCCACCTGCTGCATGCCGTGCCGGGGTGAGCCACACACACCCTGCTGCATGGCACCACATGCCACATAAAACACATTCGCGCCTCACCACACCACTGTCCTCACCACACCCCTGTCCTCACCACTCCATTCCTGCTCTGTGTGTTTCCTCGCCGCATGTGCCGTGTTGTGGCTTTGGTGCACCCGGTGTATGAGTGTGTGCGTGTGCATGTGGCAGGTGGTGGGGCAGGCCATGGGAGGCAGTGCCGCGGTCAGAGGAGGTGGTGGGCGACAGCACCCTGGCGGGGGCGCGCCAGTGGAACAGGGTGAGATGCGTGCAGGGGGCACGGGGAACCCACTGCTGCACACATGAGTGTGCATGGCAAGTTTCCTGCGCGCACCATCGCCATGTCACACTCATCATTGCTCTCACTGCCCCACGCACGCTGCTGCATGCACCACAGTTTCTCACCAAGGCATGCTCACCGTGCCTATTCGCTGCGGTGCGAGTGTGGCCGTGCGCCTCCTGTGCAGGTGAGCTGGTGGCGCGCTCAGACCACCCGCTTTGCCATGCGCTGGCCCTCGCCCTACCTCTGCCACGTCACCAACATCGCACGCCATGCCGCTTTTGGCCCACTCACCGCGCGACAAGTGGTCGCAGGAGAGGCGGCGAAACGGGCGGCAGAGCGCATGATGGCAGTCGCCAACCGCACTCAGTATGAGCGGCTCATGGGCGGCATCGCGTGGCAGTCTCTGCCTTTCTCAGGGGGGATTTGGGACGTGAGCAACACACAGGCTGCTGCTGCTGGTGGTGGTAGCAGTGGTGCGAGCAGCGGTGGGGCTGCCACACTGGCGTTCGCAGGCAGTGCGTGGTCGTCCCTGGTGTACGCGCCCCCGTACGTGCCACGACCCCTGCTCAGCATGCATGTGCGCGCGGGGGACAAGGGATCGGAGATGGAGTTGTTTCCCATGGCGGCATACATGGTGCTGGCAGCGCGTGTGCGCATGAAAGACCCCTCGCTGCACCACGTGTGGCTCAGCACCGAGATGCAGGTGTGCCGCCTCTACCCCGCCACCGCCTCATGCGGTGCCATGGGGCCGCTGCTTGAGCCTGCCAAGGGCAGCAGCTGGGCAAGGTGGAGGGGGTTGCCCATTAGTCTCTGCCATGTCCTCTGCAATCTTCTGCACGCACTATCCCCGTGGCCTTGCGGCTCTATCCCACCTCCTCCTCCACTCCTCATGCATGCAACGCCTCTCGCCGTGCACGTGTGTGCCCCCTCCCTCCCTCACACGTGACCTCACGCCATGCATCACGCCATGCATCACGCCATGCATCACGCCATGCATCACGCCATGCATCACGCCATGCATCACGCCATGCATCACGACATCTGCTTTCCGTCACCCCCTCCCCTCACCGCCCTCCCTCCCTGTGCGCCCTCCCCCTGTCCCGCGGGCAGGCAGTGGTGGACGAGGCGGCGCGCTTCCCCGGGTGGACGTTCCACCACACGCGCAACCCACGGGTGGGCGGGGGCAGCACGGCCATGGTGCACTTTGAGAGTGCGCTGGGCCATGAGCTGGCGGGTGCTGTGTCGCTGGCGAACCTGGCGGTGGCGGCTATGGCGGACTACTACGTGGGCGCGCTGGGGTCCAACTGGAACCGCCTCATTAACGAGCTGCGCGTCACGGGCGGCCGCCTCAAGGCGGGGTACCTCTCTGTCAACTACGACGAGCTGTAGCAGGGGGGAGGGGAGGGGCTGCGCATGCCCCCGTGCTCCATGGTGCCTGGATGTCATGCCATGCTGGCTGTGCGCTTGAGCATGAGCGAGATGTGTAGCCAAAGAAGAATGACCTGCACGATGCCTGCCTAGTGTCTTTCCCTGCTGCCTTTTGTAGTGCCATCGTGTATTCTCTGTATGCTTTGTACGTCAATCATAAGAAGGTGACTCTTGAAGGCACAGTGAAGCACTCTTGTGCAACATTGAGTAGCACACGCAAACAGGAAAGGCCTAGGTTTGGAAGCAACACTTGAGGAACCTGAATCGTTCGTCATGCAAACTCGCATGATAGAATGCTGGCATGGTGCAGTGGGGGGGCGGTGTTGATGGAAGGTGGCAGGGAAGTCAGCGAGCAGGCGTCCCTGCGTGCGCAGCAATGCAAGCTATGGTGCCTGGGGAACCTGGGAGTGCAGTGAGAGTGCAGCCCGCCATGCTGTATGCTCCCCGCGATGCTGCCTGCTGGGGGGGCACACCACTCACCACACGGGCAGGAGCGGTGTGAATCATGGAGAATGCAAGCGAGGGGTTACTCATGCGTGCACGCATGTATCTCTCTGCAACCATGGGGGGACGCATGCATCCGTGTGTGTGTGTTGAAGCACAAACCAGTGCCATTTCTGGAGTCCATGGACTCTTGCTACATGCATCGTCCGTGCACAGAGAGGATCAGGTGGAGCGACCGAGACCAAGAGTGCCATGCAAGCGTGTGGCAACATGAAAAGCAGGTGCACAGTGGCGCAGGAAAGAGGTGAGCAGTGGCAAGGGCTTGAGAGGAGCGGTGAGGTAGAGGTGCACAGGCATACGGTGAGGTAGAGGCGCATGCGGTGGAGCAGTGCACGCACACCACGAGAGCGTGGAGGGTAGGGCCGCTGCGCCACGTGCTGCCACGCACGCACGAGACACAGTAACATGTGGTGTTGGAACAGGGAGCAGTGGAGCAGAGCAGCGATGGATGGGAGTGGCACGGCAGTACATGCAGTGGTAGGGGTGTCACCTGCAGCAGCAGCGCGAGCACATGCATGCGCGTGTCGTCCGACCAATGGGGGGCCAGCAGCTCCACAAGGCTGATGTGCACTGCACCGCCCTGCCATGGCCACACACATGCCCACACACATGGTCACCCATCACATGGCCACCCATCACATGGTCACCCATCACATGGCCACCCATCACATGGTCACCCATCACATGGTCACCCATCACATGGTCACCCATCACATGGCCACCCATCACATGGTCACCCATCACATGGTCACCCATCACATGGTCACCCATCACATGGTCACCCATCACATGGTCACCCATCACATGGTCACCCATCACATGGCCACCCATCACATGGTCACCCATCACATGGTCACCCATCACATGGTCACCCATCACATGGTCACCCATCACATGGTCACCCATCACATGGTCACCCATCACATGGTCACCCATCACATGGCCACCCATCACATGGTCACCCATCACATGGCACCGCCGCCATACCTCCATGCCGCACACAGCACAGGGCAAGCAACAACACTCCACTTAGTGGCACGGGTGTGGGGCGGGGTGGCTTGCACCCTCGCATGAGCGGGGCAGACGACACTAATTCACACGCTTGGAGCACACCGAAAGAGACTGACAGAGGCGAAGGGAGAGGGACTGACGGAGGTGGGGAGCAGGGCAGCAGCAGCGAGGCGGCGTGCTGCTGTGAGGCGGTGAGAGCGCAGGGCAGCCGCCACTGCACTCGTGCTGTGCGCTGCTGCGTGCAGTGCGCTGCAGGCACGAGCACACAACGGGTGGAGGGGTGACGGGGGGAGAAAGAGTGGAAATTTGGGGGGGTAAGGCGCTGGTCATTCACGAGCATCATTGCCATGCCACTCACAGACGAGCAGGAGGTAAAACAAGGCGTCCCCAGTGTCCATGTTGCCCTCACATCCGTCCCCCTTGTCCCTCTCCCACCCACACGCACCTGCCGTTGTGCTGAGGCAGGGCGGCGAGGGCGTGGCGAATGCGGTTGCGCAGGAAGAGCGAGGAGGCGTTGGAGGGGTCCTCTATCCACGGCTGCAAGTGGGCCTCACAAAACTGCACCAGCTGCTGCTTCCACACTCCCAGCAACGGCCGCACCACAACCACGCCCTCACTGCTGTCCCCGCTGCCTCCCTCGCTGGTGCTGGCATGGGAACACTTAAAACGAGTGGCAGAGCTCCTGCCGTTGCTACGAGTGCTGCCAGCTGTGCCGAGGCGCATGCTGGCGTTGCCTTGCACATGCAAAGGTGCGAAGAAGGGCAGCAGAGGAGGGGGGGAGGGGGGGAGCGGGGAGAGCAGGGGCATGCATGCGAGGCCGTCCATGCTGCTGCAGCGGGTGAGGCGCAGCAGCAGCAGCTCTGTCTGGTCGTTGCCATGGTGTGCCGTCATCAGCACGCCCAGCCGCCGCTCCACACACTCGCTGTGCAGCAGCGCATACCTGCTGGCACGTGGCACATGCACCAAGTGTCACACTGTGTGCTCGTCATTGAGTGAGGAGTGGAGAAGGGAGGAGCAGAGGAGATGCATGCAGGCTCCCAGCAGGCCCAGCAGCAAGGTACAGGGAGGCAGCAATTACAGGAGAAGCGGAGTGCAGTAAGGGGAGTGCGTTGAGGCAGAGAGGGCGAGAGGTCACCTCTGCGCTCTGGCGTCCGGCTGCAGGCGCGAGGCAGGGGGCGGGCCATGTGGCCAGCGGCACGTGAGCAGCACTGCCTGCAGCCCTGCGCACACGGGGTGGGCAGCACAGCGCAGGGTGCAGGGCGGTGACATGCAGTTGCCCACTGTGAGTGCCCAGGGCGGGCTCACGGCAGGTACACACCCTTGCCACACTTGCATGGATGATGGCCGCACGCACGCACGCACGCACGGACGGACGGACGGACGGACGGACGGACGGACGGATGGATGGTTGGCAGGCGGGCGGGCAAGCGGGTGGGTGGATGTGGGGATGATGTGAGATGAGAGGGGAATAAGCATGAAGAGCCGGTCATCCCATGGCATACACCACAGCATGGCTTGGCAGCGCACCTAGGTGCTCAAGGCATGCGAGGGTGCGCATGGCTTCATGTGCACTGCCCGGCCTGAGAGCGTGGTCCACCACCATCGCCACCACGCGCACCCCCCCTCCCCCCTCCCCCTGCTGTGCGCGCTGCATGCGCGCGGCAGTGAGCGCGAGTGCCATGCTGTCGACTCCGCCCGACACCGCCACACCCACACCTGCCTGGCCGCCACAGGGGGCAGGGGGAGGGCAGGGGGGGGGCAGGGGGAGGGCAGGGGGAGAAGGCGGCGAGGATGTGGTGGGAAGGCATGAGAGGGGTGGAGCAACAAGGTGCGGTGTGGGATTGAGAGGAGGGCGGAGAGGTGCAGCGAGAGCCGTACCCGGGTACATGCGCGCATCGTCACGGTCGAGGGGTGGGGGGAAGCCTGGCGGAAGGCGATGGTGCGGGGAGGGCGCAGGCCACAGCCCCACGCGTTGCAGCACGTGCTGCAGCCCGCCCTCCCGCAGCACGTGTGGTAGCGCGACGCGCGTGTATCGCGGGGAGCGGAGCGCGCACGGCTGCACGCCATGCGCAGAGGAGCACGGGGGGAAGTGCTGCGGGCCGTGGCCCATGGAACTGCGCTCCTCGCACCCCCCTTGCCCTCTACCCGCGTCTACCGCCGCCCCTCTTCCACTCGCGACGACTCCCCGTCCCCGGACTGAATCCTGCCGCTTTCCACGGCCCTCCACCTCGTCTACCCGTCCTCGTGACCGCGCGTCCCCGTCGCCCCCCTCCGCCCGTGCCTCGCCGTCCATCGCCCCGGACGCGCGCCGCCAGGAGCGCGCCCAGTCGCAGTCCGCTGCGACGTGCGCGGTTCCTTGCAGCGCAGGCAGCACGGCCCGATAGATCAGCAGCGGCTGCCAGCGCGGCAGCAGCCATCGCGGCGACAGCTGGCGGGGCATGTGCGCGAGTGGTCGTAGCCTTACTGCCTGGCGACTGTTATGTTGAGTGCTTTGATGTAAATTTTAGATGTAAATTCGAAGAAGTGCTGAATGCGGAATAATGAGTGATTGCTACGAGTGCAATTGAGTGAACGAACGAGTATTGCACTATCGAAGCAAGAGTACAAGTGAGCGAAGGCATGAGCGAGAACTAAATAGCGAAGGCCACAGTGGTAACGGTAACGAACTGTGGGTGACGCGCGACGGGCCTGGCCGCCTGGGACTGGGGATGGGACATCGAGGCGGAGGTCAGGAGCGCGGGTTACCAGCCGAGCCGTGCGGTTAGGGTGCGACGGGCGAGGTGGCGGGAAATAGTCGAGGCGAATGTCGCGAGTGGTAACGGTGGCGAGTGTGGTTGGTACAGTGGTGTACGCGCTAAGTAGGGATGCGGCGTAAGGAAATGGAAAATTCCTTACACTACCCCCCTCCCCAAGGAGGCCCTCCTTACGAGAGTGCGTGTACGTCCCGGAAATCGCAGCTGTGCAGATAGTCAGCGAGGACAGTGTGGTTTTCGATCCTGTCCAGGGGAACCCAATTGTCTTCAGTTTGGGTGCGGTCTTTTCATCGGATCAGGAACTCGATCCTGCGTGCTCCACGTGGGTCACGAACGCGATGGCTTAGAATCTTCTCAAGTGTAATTACTGGCTCGGTGGGTGGTCGTGTCATGTTGGCTGGTCGGTGGCGGGGCAGTTGGCTTGTGGATGGTACGTAAGGGCGTAGGAGGCTGACATGGAATGACAGGTTGACGTACTAGTCAGCGGGGAGGAGGAGGTGGGCGGTAACGGGGGTGATCATGTGGCTAATGCGGAATGGCCCACAATATCGGGGGCGGAGTTTTGGGGTAATGGGCAGTCGGAGGTTTTGAGTGTCGATTAAAACTAAGTCGTCGGGCTTGTACGTGACAGGACGGCAGTGGCGATCGGCGTTGCGTTTAGCGATTACGTTTGATTTTTTTATTACGTCTGCTGCCCGTGTCCATGCTGCCTGTAAGATTTCGGCGAACTGTTGTACATGTGGTACGGGATTGTCGGGATTCGGGGTCATAGGTACTGTGTGGTCTTGTCCGTAGTTCAGGTAAAACGGCGACTGTTGGGTCGTGGCGGATGGCGAGTTGTTGTACGCGAACTCAATGAGTGGTAGTTGCTGTTCCCACGTGCTTGGATCGTCACACGTGGCTCGGATAAGCTGCTCCATGGTCTGGTTTGTCCGTTCTGTCTGTCCGTCTGTCTCGGGGTGGTACGAAGAACTGAACTGTAGTCGCGCGCCGAACTACTGCCACAGGTTCCGCAAAAAAACTGCTGGTGAATTTCGTATCTCTGTCGCTAATGATAGCTGCTGGTATCACGGTGGTGATGAAGAGCCGAGCTGTTTCTTCGGCTCAGATGGATTTCTTGCAGGCTGCAAAATGCGCCATTTTCGTGAGTCGATCGACGACGACCAGGATCGCATCGTTCCCACTTGCCCTAGCCGGTAACCCCGTGACGAAGCCCATCGTCACCTGCTGCCAAGCACGCTCTGGGGGTGGTATCGGCTGCAACTGTCCTGCCGGCCGCTGTCGTGACGACTTCATGATTTGGCAGGTGGGACACGAAGCCACGTGGCGTTGCACGTCGGTCAACATCTCTGGCCAGTAGTAGTACCGCTGCAGTTGCTGCCGCGTCTTTTCTACCCTGAAATGTCCTGAGGTAACCCCGTCGTGTGCCTCCTGTAGTAACATCTCCCTTAATAGAGTGTACCCTGGCACCCAGATGCGGTCGGTGCCGGTTTTTACGTAATAGATCCTTTTTGCGGCTGCAAACTGCTGCGAATTTTCTCCAGTGAAGAACGGGTCTATTTGATATCTGTGGGTAAATAGTCCTGTCAGTAGCGGGCTGGTCTGGGCGAGTAGTATAGCATGCATTTGTGCAGTGGGTGTCAAAAGGTTTCTAGCAAGGCTTAGGAGCCATGGCTAGAGAGTTTGAGTTGAGAGAGAAAAGTGTCGAGAGAATGAGGGTTTCACTATAGAAAGTTGTACAAGACATAGTGAAGGAAAAGGGTGCACCACCTAACATGAAAGCGATATAGCTACACTAGGTCTACACTACAGGCAGTTATAGTAATGTATACAATTACATTCTGACAGTGGGGCGGGTCAGTGCGTCGGCGATGTTGGAGGCTCCTTTTTTGTTGGAGGCTCCTTTTTTTCTCGAGGAAATCGAGCCAGCGAATCTGTTGTGGGTTGAGGTTGGGCTATGCACGGAGGTACTGTAGTGACTTGTGATCTGTCCGTACTGTCACGTCGGCTCCGGTCAAGTAGCTGTCAGATGATTATATTACTGATGCATATATTTAGGCTGTAGTGGGGTAGCCCATAGGGGGTACAACCCAATTAGGGTTGGTACTTGTACTTGTTTCATTTCATAGTGCACTCATTCCTCGCCTCTATCTCAACATGGTATCGAGCAGGTTCCCTAGTGGGAACTGTTCCTAGGGCCCACCTACTATTCCGTCCTGCCCGGAGCGCCCTCTGCCCTAGCCCGAGTCGCGCTGGGCCTTTTTTTTTCCTTTGGCGGCCCGATCGCGTCGAGCCGCCCACGAATTTTTGACGCGCCACCTACGCGGCCTCGTCGCGCCGCCCCTAGACGGCCGCGCCGCGTCGCGCGTGCCGCTCTCCAGTCGCGCGCCGCCCCCCTCTGACCCTCGCGACGCCGGCGCCGTCTCTGACGGCCCCGCGATCGCCTGCGACGGCCCCGCCGTCCCCTCTACCGGCCCCTCCGCTGCGCTTGACGGCCCCGCCGTCCCCTCTGCCGGCCCCGCCGCTGCGCTTGACGGCCCCGCCGTCCCCTCTGCCGGCCCCGCCGCTGCACCCGACGGCCCCGCTGTCCCCTCTGCCGGCCCCGCCGCTGCTTCAGACGGCCCCGCCGCTGCACCTGACGGCCCCGCCGTCCCCTCTGACGGCCCCGCCGCTGCACCTAACGGCCCCGCCGTCCCCTCTGACGGCCCCGCCACTGCACCTACCGGCCCCGCCGCTACCCCTGACGGCCCCGCTGCTGCATCTGCAGGCCCCGCCGTCTCACCTGCCGGCCCCGCTGCTTTACCTGACGGCCCCGCCGCTTCACCAACCGGCCCCGCCACTACCCCTAACGGCCCCGCAGCTGCATCTCCCGGCCCCGCCGCCCCAGCAACTGCGCCGCCCCAGCAGCCGAGCCGCCCCAGCAGCCGAGCCGCCCCAGCAACCGAGCCGCCCCAGCAGCCGAGCCGCCCCAGCAGCCGAGCCGCCCCAGCAGCTGAGCCGCCCGAGCCGCCCGAGCCGCCGAGCCGCCCGAGCCGCCCAGCAGCCGACCCGCCGAGCCGCCCGAGCCGCCCGAGCCGCCTGCACTGCCCTGTCTGGTGAGCACTGAGCTTTACTCTGCGCACTGCCCTTACCCCACTGCTGTCATGGCTACCCCCAGTGTCCTCACCTTCGACGCTGAGGGCAGAGCCATCGACTTTGACGTGTGGGTAGACGACCTGCTGCTTTTCCTACAGTGCGACAGAGCTGACGGCCTCTCTCTCTTTGACCTCACTTCTGGTGCCTCTCCCACCCCTGCTGCTACTGAGGATGCCACTGTTCGCTCACAGTGGGCCACACGCGATGCTGCTGCACGTCTTGCTGTGCGTCGCCACCTCCCTCCCTCTGAGCGTGCACACTTTGGGTCGTACAAGAGTGCTCAGACCTTGTACGACGCCGTTATTGCACGCTACTCCACCCCTGCCACTGCTGCACTGAGCCGCCTCATGCTACCGTACCTCTTTCCCGACCTTGCTTCTTTTGCCACAGTCGCCGACCTCATTACCCACCTGCGCACTAGTGACGCTCGCTTTCGCGCTGCCCTTCCTGCTGAGTTCTGCGCCAAGAACCCCCCCCCCCCAGTACTTCACTCTCTACTATATTGTCACCCGCCTCCCTGACTCCCTCCGCGGAGTCAGGGACGACTTACTCTCAGTCTGCCCCACCACTCTCACTGTTAGCCTCCTCGAGAAGTCCCTCCTAGCAGCCGAGAAGAGCATTCTCGCTGTAGGGGCCTCTCGTGGTGACCCGCGCACCCCCATCTTTGAGGGGTGTTCCCCCTCCCCCCTCCTGCCCTCTGTCGCCTCTGCTGCTACGGCCGACCTAGTTGGTTTTGAGTCGGTCGGTGCGGCGTCTGCCCCCAGTGGGAGACGTCGCTCTAGCAAGGGCAAAGGGGGCAGGAGCGGTGGTGGAGGCGGCGGGGGCGGTGGGAGCGGCGGTGGAGGCAGCGGAGGAGGTGGGGGTGGTAGCGGGAGTGGTGTCGGGAGTGGAGGTGTCGGCGGCGGCAGTGGAGGCGGGGGTGGCAGCGGCGAAGGTGGTGGGAGTGGAGGCGGAGGCGGCGGTGGCGGCAGCGACGGTGGGAGTGGCGGTGGCAGCGGAGGTGGTGGCGGCGGCGGCGGAGGAGGCGGCGGAGGAGGTCGTGGCTCGTCGCAGAGGAGTGGCTCCGGTGGCGGTCAGCGCCAACAGCAGCGGCAGCAGCGTGGTCAGGAGACCCTCTCCCCGCAGCAGCTCCGTGAGTGGTACGCTGCACGTCAGAGGGGTGGGGGTACTGGTCCGTGCACCTACGTCTTGCGCACGGGCGACCGTGCGGGTGAGACGTGTGGTGGTCCACACCCCGCCCAGCGCTGCTTCGGCCGCCTGACTGACGCTTGGCGCCGCCAGTTTCCTGACGCCTCTGAGATCCCTCGCTGGGACCAGCTGTCTAGGGCAGGAGTAGCTATCTTTGATCTTGACTTTGATGCTATTCTTGCTGCCATGTATGCTGTGACTATTAGTGAGGAGGGTGACTGTTACCGGTGTTTCCCGCCCGACCCGGGCATTCGTACTGCGGCTCTAGGTGCTGTTGAGGCTGCTGCTCCAGGTGCTGGTGAGGCTGTCGCTCTAGGTGCCAGTGAGTCTGTGTCCTCAGGTGTTGGTGAGTCTGCTCTCTCAG